TAAGCTAGTGGATCTTACAAGAAGAGCTGTTCATATACCTAGATGGTCCGTCCCCCGTAATGCTCTTCAAAAATCGTGGTGTTTCCCTGTCAAGAGTACTGTCTGCCTGAGGTATTTTAGAATCTGTCAGTTGATTGAAAATGTCCAAAGGTGGCCACCTGACTGGCGCCTGCACTACGGCACCTCAGGTATCCAGAAAGATTAGAATGCCTGCAGTTGCCTAGCTTATACTATAGGCGGGGAAGAGGTAATCTAACCCCTTGAGTACGGGGTCCCCTCTGAGCTAAATAAAATCTTGCGTTAGCCAAATAAAATATCAAAAGTGGCGTCCCCGTAATGAATTGGTTAATTGAAATCTATAAACATCTCAGAGGACATTAATCAGTCGAGTGTTCATATCTGGAACAAGTAGAAGCCCGCCCTACTAGGAGTCACTGCTTGTGAACTGTTGAACAATCTGCCAGAGTGTTGTGATGCATTGAGTGTGAGATCATTCAAGACCATACCCGATCAACACTGGCACAGGTACTGATACATTCTGCAACCAGTACATGTCCAGTACTTGCCAATAGTGTGTAACAGAGACGTGACCGACCGCCCAAGTTGCTGATCAGTGACGAAGAGGATTAATTTAAAGTAAAGGATAATCCAAGAAAGACTTTAAAACTTAATAGCTTTTTATTTTCACTTGTATTAACAGATATATATAAAACCTGTCATATCGGATGTCAAATTTTAACAGTATATCTGTATAAACCTGTAGCAGTGGATGTCGTGTAAATTAGGATAGTTTCTCCAACAACTCTCACTCGAATATAGTTTTCTCCGTTTCCGTATTCTCAAAAAGTCTACGGGAATTGCATGCCCTTGTTTCAGAATCTGTTAACCTAAGATAGTACTGTATGTGGATAATTCTAAAACAAGGACCTGCAATTCCCGTAGCCTTTTTGAGAATACGGAAACAAAGAAAACGATACTAGAGTAACAGTTGAAGAACACACTATCCTAATTTACTTTACTTCCAATATTGATATCTAATTTGCATACTTACACAGGACTAGATAGGCAAATGTTCAAACTGTTGATAATGGTAGTTGAGGGTATTGATAGTTGCTGATGATTAAAGAAATACAAAAATGTGCAGGGTCTTCACATTCACTGAGCCTATAAATGCAGCATACTTTTCTCTTGGAAGTTAATTGATATTTAGAAAGTCGTCACCAATATTGTAAATAGTTGACAATCTCATTACTGTAACATAATGCACACTACTGATGATTGGCATTGCAAAAGATGACTTTCCATACATTGGACCGTGAAAAAAAAGCCTTATCAACAATTCCACATCTAGACCATCAAGCAGTTCTTGATGTTTATGACAAATAACAACAGCATTAAGTTTTGTTTGACCAGTTGCATTTCTTAATCATATTTTCATCCTTTGTAGACCACTAAATGATTGTTCTGCTTCAGCAGAAGAGAACTGGGAAAGAATTAAGAACTTCGTCTGTGCCTTCACCAATGACAATAGCTCCTGCATTTCATATGGCATTGTTCTAAGACAGAGGACTATATCCTCTAAGCAGTTTACACTTACCTAAGCCTTCATTATTCTTTTCCAGCTGAATCTCTCCATACCCATAACTATACCCACATCACCATTCCTCCCAAGCACTGCCCAGCCTACATCTCACACATTTCCAACCTTCTCCCCACGTTCAACTTGGAGTTATCTGAGAACTCCACACACAACTTCTACAACCACTATGTATCTCGGTTACATCTCAAACGTTGCTCTAAAGTCTATTCTTAGAGAGAAGAGAATGCAGTGGAAGATGGTACTGTATATCATTCCAAGAAGACCCAATGCCTGTCGATTATATACACAAATACTAATCCTCCAGATAGAACTGACTTACACTTCAACAATGCACTCAGACATAAATCCATGCACAGAATCAACAACAACATTTTATGGCAATTTTCCCGGCTTAAATGGGTTAGCTGCAAGTATCTGATGGCACGTCTCTATGATTATTAGCATTATTACTTTTATTATTATTATTACAATACTGTAATATAATTACAGTATAGTCTGCATTTAGACAGTCAATTGAACCCGTGGAGTACCGCGTAAAACGAGAAATGCGTAAATGAAATAACAGAACATATGGGATTAAAAAAAATAGAGACTGGGCCGACCCCCAAACTCCACTTTTTCCGACACAATACGTACGTTGTAGTCAAAATAACATCTTAATTTTATGATGGTATGCACACACAATTAATAATTAAGAGAAATATCAATATTATTAGGTTTTTTAACACTTACGTTAGTAGAAATGCTGGGTCGGCACACATGGATGGCGGCTGGTTCCGAGGCAAAGGGCAGATTAGTTGCCCTCCGGTGAATCACTTTCACTACTCGCAGAGGTTTGCAGGGCCTCCCAGACAAACCTCTCAAAGTCCATATCCTCACTGTCAATATCACTATCACTGACTTGGGCTGGCTGTGGTTGTGGTGGGTTGCGGGCAAGGAAGTCCTCAATACTACGTTGACGACTAGCATTGTTGTTGTCGAGATAGATCTGGATATACAGCTCCATAACTTTTGTCAGATGGTTATTAGACGCTTCATAACGATGCTTGTCTGGGTCGTTGTCAAGGATGAGCTTAAGTTTCTCCACCAACTCGATGATTTCCTTCACATTATCATGGCTTGGTCCAGGAAATTCAATATTTTTCTCTGGTGGTGGGGGTCCCACGGAAGCCATTGTGAGTTGTGAGGGGAATAGCGGGCACAAGAGAGAACTGTATACGCGGACTGAGAACTATAAAACAGGCCCTGCTAGGTCAGCGACTTCTACCCTCTGGTGGCAGGGCACGTCATGTTACATTAGACCAATTACAGCTGGCGGCGGAGGGAATGCGTGGGTGGTAAGGATGCGTGGCCCAATCACAGTCCGATACGTCAAATGATGTCAGCGATAACGTAAGTGCGGCCTAAAGCGCACCACTCACCGCACCGCTTCCCGTGTATGGTCAAGAATGGACCACGTGGGTAAAAAATGGCGCGGCAGTCAGGACCTCTCCAGCCGCTCGCTGCGTAAATTACCAAATTTACCCCGTAATTAAGGCATTTTCATTCTGGCAGGGCACCGCGTAAATGACCAAACCCGTAAACAAAAGCAACGTAAATACAGACTATACTGTATTGCTGTTATATGTATAATGCTTCTTTATCATTAAAATTATGCACTGTTATTACCAGTACAGTTCATAGGGTAAAAACAAACACATAAAAGAGCATAACAAATGTCTTCAGTTTATATTTATTTATTTAACCTTTATAAACTTATTTAATGTAACAAACAGTATTAAAAATATTTAATGCTTCTCTAAGAAACGAAACATTAGACATGTTTAATGTCTAGTTAAATATCCTGGCAGTCAGTACTTGTAAACAACTGCTGTAACTGTTGTTATAAAACAACTGTTCAGATTTATATAATTTATACCCTGATACAGGGTAAAGGATACACTGTATAGGGGCTATAATATAATTTTACTAGGTCACACATTTAGGTGTAGACTGTATGTCTATATACTCTATGCAGTTAAAATGCTTAAAAAGAAAAAATTTTTGATAGTTAGACTTTGACCTGGACCCCTCTGGGTGACCTAACACTCACCCAGAAAGGTCCAGGCTGAATAAGTCAAAAGGATTCTCAACCTGTAGTAAATTGAAAAATTTTAAGAGCTAACTATTTGGCACACAGAAAAGGTAGCCACAGATTTGTATGGCACAATTTAAGGTTTAATAATCATATCAACTCATAGCTGAGATGGTTTCCATATGATCTTCAAGCATTCTTTAGGAACTTCAGATTCCCACTCCCCAAGAACAACAAGACGAGCAGCAAGTCGACCAACTTCATCACAGGCTTTGGCTGCACATCCATTTCCACCCAGAGCCACACCAAAGCCATCTGTGACTGTGTCTATATATGGGTATGAGGTAGGTGTATGGGATGTCAGGCATCCATCTCCAGACACTTTCTCCACTGTTAGACCTGAAAATATATTATGGCAGTTATTCTCTCAAACTTGTAAGTTTCATTAACCAGCATCAATAATACTGATCCTCAACTAATAATAGACTGGCTGATTCAAAGATATTTCTAACTGGCCCACAATGATCACAGCTTATGACAAATTGTTGATCAATCTAGTTTCCCTTTACAAGATGTTCAACACACAAACAATGAGCATTTCAATTAAAACTCATGTTAACCACTTTTTTCATAATATTTATGGATATTCATCAATTTATGCTAACAGTGTCAAACATGTGAGCGGTGTCATTCCAACTTTTAACACCTTCCAATCCCTAACAAAAATTCCATTGTGATGGCAAGGATTTAAAGTTCAGCAGGACACGGTTATTGAAGTCCACAGACACACCATAAACATCTTAATCCACATACAGTACTCACAAAGGTTCCTAAACAAGAACAGAACCATATTTGAACCTCTCATCTACCTAACCCTTATAAAGAGTGATAGAGCTGCCATACCGTTCACTTCCTGAAACAATAGAAAAATAACATACAGTGTACCCATAAAACTTTTAACATACTGTAACCCCTCGACAAGTTAACCAGGAAACACTGTATGAAGGGACCCTTACTGAAACCCATTAGCTTCCTGCCTCTGATGAGGTTACTACTCTACAAGTTGTGATGAGTGCCAGAGAAACAAAGTGAATAAAAATAAATTGTAAAAACAAGTCATTTACATTTTTTTTTATACAAGAATTCTTCCTGTTTCTCAACCTAAGTACTGATTGTAAAGGTAATTTGATATTTTTGGGACCAACACCTATTTTTGTATATCTAATCTCAGTTAAACTGATCATGTGTCACCACTTATTAGCTTACTAGCTACTTGGACAACTGTTTTTTCTTTGTTACTGTTACAGCCTTCACATCCAGTGTTAGTACAGGAGGAATCAGGAACCTCTGGAGAAAACCTGGGATGTTTGCTAAGATCTCAGTTGATAGCACTGTTCTTACATCTGTTCCAGGCCAGGGAATGAATCCATGACACAGTAGAAAGAGGCAAGCATGCTACTGCTGTAACATCATTGTTCAATACAGGGTAATGATTCTCTTATTCATTCTTGTACGACTCTTCCTGCTCAGGTGCACAATGGCTACAATCAAGAGCAGAATGCAATCTCCCCAAGTTGTCATTCATGTTTTCTATCTGCCAAAACAAGTGTTCTGTTTTGGTGTGTTTCTTCCATTCAAAAGGCCCCAAGACAGGGGTTCTCAATTAGTTTTGTCTGTTATCCCCAAAACAGACAAGAAGCGGGAAAACTAGGAACCACATACCGGTATGTATCATCTTGGTGAACAGTTTGGATTGGATTCATTTTTTTTAACCATATATTCAACTGTTACACCCGAAAAATGCCAAATAATCCCGGCAGGGGTAACTTATCCCTGACTGAGAATGGTACCTGTGCCCTAAGATATCAATATGGTTTATCCTTGTCTTTTTATACATCATTCTAGCACCACATATCAACAAATCATATTAATGCTGGACTGCACTGTACACCAAAACACCTTGTACTTGTACAGTACTATGCATATTTATTGTAAACCTTGGTATTACACAAAGGCTTCAGTGAGACATTTCCACTATCATTAGGATGTTACCATTATACATTTGACTGAAAAATAACTCCCCCTTATAGTATCTGCTTCATACTGAGGAGTAATCAGTTATTTTATTAAAGAACAAAGTTGTCAACAGTATTTCATTAACCCTTTAGCCGCAGGATGTTACCCCGACATGAATAAAATCGTCTGGTGGAAGCCAGAATAAAATGAAAAGTGCGTGAAATGCAGTCAGAGGGTTAAGAGTAACACAAATAGATACTGACCAGGTAAAAGATGACAGAAGTATTTTACCAACTCATCCACACACTCAGGAAGGCCAGACTGCTGGATGTACCATTCTCTAACTTCACACAACGTGGTCTTCCTCTCTTCATAAGCCCTTCCATGACCCAGCTTCAAGTACCAATTACCTTGAGGTTTATACATATTTTAATTAATAAAAGATGACAAGCATGAGCTAGTATCGTAAGTTTAACAGCATCAGACATCTGTATGAAAAATAATCTGAACTGAATGACTGAGAAAACTTTTTGACCAACCTGTGCTGATACAGCTGGCAAGAAATTCTTAACTATTGTTACTTACAAACTAGAGTAAACTACCAGGTAATTAAATACTGCAATAGTAATTATACACACCTGTAAGGTGACATGCAAAGTTATTTAAGAACAGGAAAATAATTTTGTAAGAAATATTTAGGTGGTTCATTCAGCAAGACTAATAAACAGATAGTTGACCCCAAGTTCAGTGTGATATCCACTGCCTTCAGGTGAGATTGAAGTACAGATGATGTATCAGACATCAGTAAACATGTGTTCACTTTAGTTTTATTTGCTAAACCAACATAGCTTTATCAAACACAACCCTGTTTATCATAAGTGTCTCCAGAGAAACAGTGGTGTCTCAAGTACCACGCTGCACATCCCTACCCTACACAGACTCTGACCTTCTTGACTATGGTGAAGTCATGCACAAGTTACAATGATAGCAAGTAATTCTTATGCAGGTAGAGCACTTCACCTGTCTCCTGGATGTTTCACCTTTAATACAGATTAACTGGTTGTTACTAGGCACACTGTTTAAGTGGTGTCCATCACCACGACAGCAGGACATACAGTAATAACACAAGTCACTTTACTCCCTCACTCAAACAAAATCTTAATTGCAATAATCACAAAGGCATCACCACATCTGACAATAATACATAGTACAGTATCATTATTTTATGCTACCTGTACTAACACTTCCTAAACTGATCAGTAATCTGACTACGGTCTCAAACTCTTTCCATATCTATGGTGATAAAAAATGCAGATTTATGGAAATAGATGGTAGGATAAGGAATGATAAACATATAGTTATATAACACCAACTATATAACTATGATGGTACTGTACTGTACTCACCATCTGGGTACTTGATGGGTGGTAAAACATAAACTCCATCAATGTTCCCGTGGGGAACATTTATGGCTAGAGAGGGCATCAGTCTGTAAGGAAAATTATTTTCATTATCCAAATTCATCAGTAAACTTCGAAGTTATTAATAACAAAATATATTTTATTATTTAATTAGATTTCTATTTCATAAAACCTATGTTAAATTAACAACCTCTGTTACTACTGTAGTTACCAAACAGTGTTCAGGTGTTAAATGCTAAACAAGAGTACAGTATACATAATACAAAACAATTCAGTGGTGTACTGAAAACATAATTATAGCCTCTAAAATATTAAGAATAAATAAAAAATAATGGTGTAAAGACATAATGTAGCTGTTGGTCTAGGAGAGCGAGGCATCATAGATATGACATGCCGAAAAAGCAAAACAATAGTACTGTAATACCTCCATTAGCCGGAATCCCTCTTAGCCGGAACTGTCTGAAATTTGCTCAGAATTTTTTCAAAAAATTTCTCTCACTTCCGGGTTTGGGAATGATTTTCTGAGATTGAAAACAAGGTACATTTTCTGGAAAATTCAAAGAAAATTTCCAGCAACTCTCTTCAAATTTTTTTCGGGTATGGGAGCAAATTCCGATGATGAAATAATGCACAATTTCCAAAAAAATTGGATAAACTTTTCCCAGTACCCAGCAAAATTCCGGGGATGAGAAATTTTTTTCCGGTTTAAGAGAGCTGTCTGTGTTTGTTCCACTGTGTCACAGATTCAATCCACTCCCCACCCCAAGGTCAGATACAGTGTACACAGTGATAGTTCATAGTGTCATCAGTGACCGCGGAAGTTGTTAATAACTTAAAGTGAGCGCTCACTAGCAAGCAAGCTGGAAAGGCGCCGTGCCAGCTGAAACTAAGTCGTGTCATAGGTGCCACAGAGACTTTAACTTTTATTTTGTTTGTGTGCTTTCTCAAGGACTGAAACTGTGCCTACAATACACCATTCACAGGGAGATACAGTGTACGCAGTCACAGACGACAACTCTATAGGCAACAGAGAGTAGGTAAGTACTTTTTATCTCTCTACTTTTTTAAAAAGGTGTAAATCTATACACAGTCTGCACTTCCACAACAACAACAACCATGAGTTTGATATGTGATTACTGCAGGGAGACGTCGGATATGGAGGATACAGGCCTGACTAATACACAGTTTAGGAAGTTACTAACTGCTGTAAAGCATAATGGTTGTTGCTGGTATTGCTCTGGCTGCATAGTCAAGGTGAATGAAGCGATTGCAAGCCATAAGGGAACAAGTTCTCTAGGGACGAAAATAGATGAAGCAGGAGCCCTGCTGGTTGACAAACTGGAGCAAGTTGAGAAAGAGATCCTTGCTAAGACTGAGGAAGTAGCTGAGAGAATGGAGGAGATTGCTAAGAGGAGTTATGCTGACGTATTAGGAGGGCCACAGGAGGGGGCGGAGAGTAATGCAGGATCAGTACAGGTTCTACAGCAGCTCGGGACTTTGAAAGAGTGTGTCGAAGAAATGAAAATTAACGGACCTACTGTTAGGGGAGAGGAGGAACACCAGGAACGGCTCCAGCGCAGGAACAATGTAATTGTTTTTGGAGTCCCAGAGAGCCAGGCGGAAGGAACTGTGAGTAAGGAAACACACGATAAGGTGCTGTTTCAAAATATTTGCACAGAGGTTCTGAAGATTCCATCAACCCCTCAGGATGTGAGGAGGCTGGGACAAAAGCAGGGGGTTAAGCCTTGCCCCCTCAGGATCACACTAGTGAGTGAGGAGGAGAAATGGCAAGTTATTCGGCAGGCAAAAAACTTAGCAAGGAGCGAGGCATTTCGGGATGTATTCATTCACCCAGACCGCACGGGAATGCAGAGGGAACAGCACAAGAAGCTCCTGCAGGACTTGAAGCAGAAGAGGAAGGAGTCGAGGAGGAACGGGGACAGGTGTACATGGGTTATACTCAGGGGGAGGGTAGTGGAAACAAGTGTGCCGACACAGGGCCAGGGGGCAGCAGTGCACCCTCCACCCACTCAACCCCCCACCCGAGAGGAGGCACCAGCTCAGCCTACCGGCCAGGAGGGAACGAGCGCCGTGTAAACAATGACATTTCTAACCACACCCTGCAAAATACAGTGTACTTAGTAAATGCTGCAGCTTCTGAGAATGTGGGGAGAGCGGGTTTATTGCTAAGAGCAGAGACGTTACCGAGAACAAATTCTGGCTTGAATGTCATGTACACTAATACTGACACGTTCCTTGAAAAGAGAGAGGAGTTTGAAACACTACTAAGAGTACACCAACCAGATATTGTAGGAGTTGTAGAACTGTTGTACAAGAACAGGAGAATCGACCCAGAGAAATGTGAGTTCAGTATTGCTGAATATGACTCATTTACGAACCTTTCTCAAGAAACTTGCAAAAGGGGTGTGGTTATCTTCGCTAGGCAAGACCTTAGAGCCAGCCAGGCGAGGGTACAGGGAGAGGATGTTTTTGAAGAGTCCAAGTGGTGTAAAATTAAATTAAAGGGAGGGGACTTACTTATCGTCGGGTGTATCTACAGACCCCCAAACTGTGGCCCACTAAATCAAAGGAACTTAAGAACCTTAATAAACAACGCGGCGATGCTCAACCCTAGCCACCTCCTTATCATGGGGGACTTTAACTTTGGCGACGTCGACTGGAGAAACAAGTCCACCCCGAATGACTTGAATAACCCTGCTACTCTTTTCGTAGAAACTCTAAGAGATAATTTTCTGTTCCAACATGTTAGAGGCCCGACACATTACAGAGGGGAGCAAACACCCAAGCCACTTGACCTCATCATAACAAACAAGGAGGGAATGGTGGCCAAACTGGAACACCTTGCCCCAGTTGGCACCAGTCACCATACAGTGTTGTCATTCAGATTTAACTGTTACCTAGTTCAAGATAAGGCCAGGCCAAGGTGCAAGTATTACAAGGGAAATTACAATGGGATGAGGGGTATCAACTGGCCTGACTTATTAAGGTACAGTACAAGAACGCAGACACTACGCTGAATATCATAACTAATAAAATGACCCATTTGATCGATAAATATATGCCCAAGACCAAACCCAGTGCTTCTAGGAATACGAAGGGATCACTACACATGAACCATGCGGCGGTCGACAAAATTAAGAAGAAAACCCAGAAATTCAAGACGTGGGTTGGGTCAAACGTTGAGCAAGACAGGAGGATGTATGCAAGAGCCAGAAACCAAGCAAAGATAGAGCGTAGAAGGGCTGAAAAGGAGTTCCAGAGGCTGGTTGCACGCGAGGTCAAGTCAAACCCAAAGGCGTTTTACCGCTATGCAAAGTCGAAATTGAAAATGCGAGTAGGATTATCAGACCTGAGGCTGGTGGATGGTAGTTACGTAGATTCTGACCAGGATAAAGCTGAGGCAATGAACAGCTTCTTTTCCTCAGTGTTCACAAGAGAGGATGCAACTAACCTTCCTGCGTTTGAGGACAGACGGTTTGACACAGCACTGACCCACATTGTGTTCACAGAAGAGGGTATTAGAAATAAACTGTCCAGGCTAAAGGTCCATAAGAGTCCCGGCCCTGACATGGTACATCCTAGAGTGCTAAGAGAGTTGTGCAACGAGCTTGCAGAGACCCTGAAGATCCTGTTTTGTAAATGCCTGGATGAACAAATGTTCCCCAGTGAATGGAAAGTGGCTTATGCGAGTCCTATCTTCAAGAAGGGCGATCGTCACTCCACGAACAACTATAGACCGGTGAGCCTGACCAGCATAATATGTAAAGTACTTGAGAGTATTATCAGAGATGCCGCAATGGAACATCTAATACGAAACAACCTTGTAAAGGATTGCCAACACGGTTTTATGCCGGGGCGCTCTTGCTTAACACAATCGCTCAAGGTACTGGATATTTGGACCCATATTCTGGAACGGGGTGGTAATATCGACAATATTTACCTAGATTTTGCCAAGGCTTTCGACAGTGTACCCCACGAAAGGCTGAAAATCAAACTGGAAGGGTACGGAATTCGGGGAAATGTCCTAGCGTGGATAAAAGACTCTACATGACCGCAAGCAGTGTGTGGTGATTAATGGCACGAAATCGTCATCTGTACCCTGTAATGCGGGTAAATTACAAGGTGTATAGTCTTTGGTTGTTTGTTTGTTTCATAAATGATATGCCTGACGTTGTACACTCCTCCATGCAAATGTTTGCCGATGACGCCAAGTTATTTCGGGAAATTAAGAACCAAGCGGACTGTGAAGAGCTGCAGAAGGACCTCTGTGGGCTCCAGGAATGGTTGAAGGAATGGCTGCTGAGATTCAATGTCACGAAGTGTAAGAGGATGCCCAAGGCGCATTAACCGTAAGAGGCTGACTATATAAACCCAACGGGATGAAGAAATCCGTAATTAGTTGGAGACTGTGTGTGAGAAGGACCTAGGTGTGTA